TTCAGATAAACCCTTGGATTGGGTTGACGCTAAGGTCAGTGTTTAATATGTAAAGGCCATTGTAGGCACGGCAGAAGTCAACACTGTTCAAAAATCAAACATTTCTTTATATTACATTTGATTATATTTGGGAAATTTCCAAAGTTTAATTAATTTTGACACATTACTGAAAGCTATATTTTTCTCTAAAACTTCTTAAAGGATTCTATATAGTCATTTACATTTATAAACAACACTCTGAAGTAACAATCAGATGTCTTGGACCAGCTTCTCAAATGCCTTGTAGTGTTAAGATATTCACACAACCATCTTAGATGCTTTTTCATTTATCACCCCTGATCAGCTCTGATATGAAATTGTGCATTTTAGCGTCTTTTGCAAATGGGCTAGATTTGTGATGAGACCGAATTTCTGCTCATATGGTAGTCTAATCTTCTGCTTATTCAGTACAAACACGTTTTTTTCATGATACGAAGAAACTCCTGCTGGCTCACTTCTCCATCACCATCTCGGTCTGCTTCTTCAATCATCTCCTAATGAAGTAGTGATCAGTGATAAGATTTTTTTTTCATCTTTAATGAAGTGTAAATGTAGAGTCATGGGAAAAAGTAAGTACTGAGTGCTCCAGAACACCAAACCGCCAAAAATTCTGCTTTTATAGAGGTAAACACACTTCTTGATGATTAAATAATCTTGTGCGTTTCATTAGTAACACCTGGCTGCTAATTACTCTCATAATGATTGTAGAAGTAGGAAGGGTGTACTTATTTTTTCCCACCTGGTTTCTGAAGTTTGGTTTACTTGTTAGGAAAAAAATTACAACATATTGCAATTTGTTGTGTTTTTGTTGTTGTTGTCACCTGAGGTTATTTGTTAGTTTATAGAAGTTAGTGAGGACCACACAATTGTTATTTAGGCCCTGATAAATAAAAACAGAGAACTGAAGGAGGGTGTACTTTCTTTTTCCCATGACTGTATGTGTTATGATGAATCTCCTCACCTGAAGCTCCTCATCAGTAAGGTTCTCGCCGAGCTCCTTGGCAACTCGCTTTAGGTTGCGGAATGATATCTTACCAGTTTCATCATCATCAAACAGTCGAAAGGCCTTTAGGATTTCTTCTTTGGAGTCCTTTTCAGCCTTAAAAAGATCAACAACAGGTAAAGACTCAGTGTGTACATGATCTACATATAAATACATCTATTCCTGGAAGACCCCAGAGTTCAGAGTAGAGAACAAGTTCCTGGGACAAGTATTATTTTGCGATCACAGGAAAATAAGTCTCACCATCTTTTGGCTCATGATTGCCAGGAAGTCATCAAACGAGATCTTGCCAGTGCCATCCTTATCTACATCTGCAATCATTTTCTTGATCTCCTCTTTTTTGGGCTCAAACCCGAGAGCCCTCATAGCAACCTGAGACATGAAAGACTCCATTAGCGTTAAGACACCCATGCACTTATGTGTTATTTCTGCGCCTTGTAAAACCTCACCTTCAGCTCCTTCACCTCAATGTAGCCTGAGCCATCTGTGTCGAACAGCTCGAAGGCTTCTCGTATCTCCTGCCTTATTTCTTCTGTCAGTTCGGGTTTAGGACTGGCTTTCTTACGAGGAGCCACAGCTCCAAGCGATGGCCTTTTGGCACTGGTGGCCTGCAGTCAATAAGCAGTGGCAACTTGTATATGGCAACTTCTATAATAATAAGCACTAAAGCAGTAAACACCTGTTTATTCATCACCTTTTCATAATGCTAACGTTATGTAATCAAAGAAGCTATGGTAGGCTATTTGGCACATCTGTAAAATAGAAAGGTGGCACTATTTGCTATGACATAAAGAATATTCGCTGCAACGATTAATCGACTGTCTTTCAGTGCAGATTCACGGGATCACAGTAATGCTCATGATGCTGCACTGAGTCAACATTATGGTCACTAAAGAACAGCAATGCTGTGATCTGCGTTACTGTGATCCTGTGAATCCGCACTATTAACTGCGTCGATTAATCGTTTAAATGAGATTGCAGCTCATTTACTTTATGCGGTGCGACACTGATATTATACAGATACGTGTTGTCTTACAGGCTAGCCTAGCTTCTTATTCGATTCCACACGAATTGCATCATGAAAAGGTGATGGGGTGTTTACTGCTTTATTGCTGTAGAAGATACTGTATACAAAGCAGATGAGCTGCCAGAACGATTAATCGACGCGGTCCATCAGTGAGGGATCACAACATCACAGGATCACAGTAAGGCTGATGAGGCTGTACTCATTACTCACCATTACAGTCGCAGCAGTGCAGCAACACAGAGATCAGCGGAGTCTTTCTGTCTGTACAGTCTGTCAGCATGTGGTGTGCAGTACCCTCGCCGATGTTCTGTACAGCATATGAGGAGATTTTACAGCAGTAAAGGATGTGGATACATGGCTGCTGCCTCACCACATCATCTCGCTTACAGCATCTTCTCTCTCCGGGGAAATACGGGCTGTGGGTGTGGCTCAGTGGGCTGGACAGACGCTCATTGGTCACTGAAGGAGCTTTTCCCTGTCAGAGAAACAGCCACAGCTGAATACAAATACAACAAACAAAAAAACAAAAACTATATATATATATATATATATATATATATATATATATATATATATATATATATATATATATACACACACAGTACTGGGCAAAAGTCTTAGGCACATGCAAAGAAATGCTGTAGAGCAAAGATGCCTTCAAAAATAATGAAATTAAATGTTTCTACATTAAAAAATACTATAAAGAGCAGTAAACAGTAATAAATGAAACAAAGTCAATATTTGGTGTGATGATCCTTCGCTTTAAAATAAAAATAGTCTCAGGTACAGTGTGTGCAGTTTTATAAGGAAATGAGCTGTAAGTGTTACTGAGCATCTCGCAGAACCAGCCACAGTTCTTCTGGAGACTTTGACTGTCACACTTGCTTCTTATTTTTAAGCAAAACTCAGCAGCCTTCATTATGTTTTTTTGTCTGAAAAGTGTCTCTTATGTAATCTGCTGCTTTCTTTACTGACATACAAACATTTTTCTGTAACATTTAATTTTGTGCTGGAAAACTGATGTTTGGAAATCTAAAATGTTTTTGTACTGAATCAATAATGTAGAAGTCATAAAAAAAAAATAGTGCCTGAGACTCTTGCACAGTACTGTATATATATGTATATATATATATGAAGAGAAAATCTAATTAATCAGGATATGCATATAAATAATTTATGCATGAAAGGGATACACACACACATATGTATGTATGTATGTGTATATATATATATATATATATATATATATATATATATATATATATATATATAT